TCCTTGCCTTATATCATTCTTGCTTCATGATGTTATCTAGGCAACAATGGAGAATGAGGAGAAAAGTAAAACCAATTACACATCTGTGTAAATTGTCTTAAGTTAAACATATGTTTAGCATATAACCTAGAAATCTCAGTCCTAAAATATATAAAACCATGTCTATACCTGTCATGAATGTTTATAGAAGATATATTCATAATCACCAAAAACTGAAAATAATTGAATGTCTGCATACTGGTGAATGAAAAAGACTGTGGTACATCCATACAATGAAATACTACTCAGCAATAAAAAGGAATGGACTACCGACACGTGCAGCAACACGGTGCACCTCAGAAGCATTACGCAAAGAGAAAGAAACCAAACTCAAAAGGCTATATGCTGTATGATTTCATTTATATGACACTCTGGAAAAGGAAAAATTAAGTGGGAAGAAAACAGGTCAGTGACTACCAGTAGCCATGGAGCACGAAAAGGAGACTGATTACAAGGCACATAAGGGAACTTTTGGGGGTGACAGAAATGTTCTTACATCTTGACTGTGGTGGGGTAGCTACATGCCGTGTAGGTTTGTCAAAACTCAGAGAACTGTACACCTAAAAAGCGTGAATTTTATTATATGTAAATTATATCTCAACAAACTTAACTTTTTTAAAAAAAAAAAAAGTCAGACAATGCGGTACTAAACATAAAAATAAATAAATTTTTGAAGTTGATCAGCATGAGCCCTTAGAAAATAGAACCTAATCAAAAGTTATGCCCTAATGCGTCAGAGGGTTGCAATCCCAGGGAGGCAAGGGTAACAGAAAAAGTAAAGCAAATGAAGGAAAGAAGGAGAGAAACTACAGGGCATTGTCTTACTGATTTTGAATTGGTTGTAGCTTCAGGGGGACATGTAGTTGGCTGTTTTTCACATGGGACCGCTATAGAGAAGCCATTGGATAGTGGCAATGGTTATAAAAAAAAGAAAGAAAGAAAGAAAGAAAGAAAGAAAGAAAGAAAGAAAGAAAAGAAAAGAAAAAGAAAAAAAAAGAAAAAAGTCTGGGTGGAGTGGCTCATGCCTATTGCCCCAACACTTTGGGAGGCTGAGGCAGGTGGATCACCTGAGGTCAGGAGTTTGAGACCACCCTGACCAACATGGTGAAACCCCAACTCTACTAAAAATACAAAATTAGCCATGAGTGGTGGCAGGTGCCTATAATCCCAGCTACTCGGGAGGCTGAGGCAGGAGAATCACTTGAACCCGGGAGGCAGAGGTTGCAGTGACCGAGATCATGCCACTGCACTCCACCCTGAGCAACAAGAATGAAACTCCATCTCAAATAAATAAATAAATAAATAAATAAATAAATAAAGCAGCCATATGAAACAGTCAACAGGAAGGAGAAAAGGCAAACAATTTATCTCCTTTCATTCCTCCCAATGAAAAGCTTGCCCAATGAAATGAAATACCCGTACTTCTGGACTGCATTGCCCAGACCCTGCATAGTTTCTGGGGAAGCCAGAAGCTTCAACAGGTCCATTTGGATCAAACCTCCATACCGGAGCTGCAGACACTCCTGTATGATGAACACAATGGCGGCCTTGCCTCTAGGATCAGCTCCCAACCCAGGAAAGCACAAGTCAATCAACGATGTTAGGAGATGTATCCTAGGGACAGTAGTCTGGGCTGTATGAATTGTAGGATGAGCTATAGGAGTCATCACTGGAAAAGCATGACAAGTGGCCAAGGCCTGGGGCAGGTGGGGCCAGCAGATACGAGGCGTTCCACAAACTGGGTCTAGAACAATGGGCTATAACTAATAGACCTTCTAAACTAAAAGAGTAGTTTCATTTTTAAGAATATGCCACAGATACACTGAGAAAATTTCAAGCAATTTCTATCCATTAACAATTTCTGTCCATCTGTTCATGTGATGATCTCACCTGACCTTTAAATAATAAATAAGTTCAGATCTGTGTGGTTAAATACCATGTCAGACTGACACATTCAGGGACAGCTTCCTACAGAAAACACACTGCACATCAAAATAATGCCCTCCTCTGGACAGATCACAGGACCAATTCGTGATCCACTCACCACAACACAGACATCATCCTTCAGAAAATAATACATTCTAGGTAGAATTCAAAATCTAAAGACTGTCTTATAATCTTTCCCTCTGAGACATCAAAGCGAAAGTGTTATAGTTGAGGGGAACTGAAAAAAGCTCAACTCCATATTTTATCATGGAAATATATTATGCTTTTTAAAAGTTACCATATCCGTTATGTGCTTTTACATGTATCATGTTACTTAATCCTCATAATCACCCTAGGAGGCAGGGTATATTACTGCCCCTGTTACAGCTGAGAAAACTAAGGCACAAAGATGTGTAATTTGCCCACAGCCAGCGTCCGAATGCTGTTGGTCTGAGCCCAGAGCCCCACACTCACAGTCATTTAACAGGCATGTGAGTGCCTGCCAGAAGCTGGAGATATAGAGGTGCAGACAGCACATGGCCCTGCTTGTACAGAGTTTATGCTGTATGGGAAAGACAGGCATTAAAGAAGTAATCACAGGTAAATAAAGGAGAAGCAGAGTCCTACAGAAGTTCATACCCTGTGCCTACTCAAAAATCTATGGTGCAAAGTTTGTGGTCATATTAGTATCAACTATCAAGGTTAAATCTGCAAGCACACACATTCAGGAGAAAATGCAAGCCAGTCAGAAATACTAGTGCTTTTTAGTTTATATTTTCTCTATATACAGTACAGTGGTCATTTTCCAAACCCAAACAGGTCCTGACAAACAATTTTTTCCCGTATGTTAACTAATTTACATGTTTACTGATTTACTCATTTAATATTTTTCTTACCCAGGCTTCAGTGAAATTAATTATATATTCATTTAACCATCTTCATTTTCAAAAGAACAAAGAACAAAAGAACAAAATATATAAATCCTGGTACTGCTCAGGAAAATATAAGAGTATAACTATAACATAGTTAAAATAATGTCTTTCACACAGATAATTCTATGATAAATAGATAAACTGCATCCTATAGAATAAGGCTTCTTGGAAGTGACTTCTTGGCTTATTTGAGGAGGGAGTTTGACACAGTCATAAGGAGCCCAGATTCTGGCATCAGATGGACCAAGACTAGATTTACTTCCTACGTATCACTGGGCAGGGCTCCTAGCCTCTATAAGTCCTGATTCTTTCATCTGTAAAATATAATCAAGTTGGCATACCTCAAAGGGTTGTTGTGAAGGTTAAAGGAGATAATGCATGTAAAGTGTTTAGCATAGTTCTTGACCCACAGTAAGCACCTAATGTACATGAGCTGTCATTCCTATTATGAATCCTCTAAATGGTTTGCATATTGAAAGAAACAGAAAAAGAAGACATGGTAAATGGATGGTATACAAATGAGATGCTTGAAATGTGTTAGGGAGCATGGCCTACAGATCCACTTGATTACACCAAGGGCAGCAGAGTGAGAACAACTCTGTAAATCCCACATGCAGAGCCCTCAATGGAAAGGAGAAGGGCAAATGGAAGCTGACAGGTGGTTAGTAATTACATAGTCAATTCATGTTTACAGAGGAGAGAGAATTTCAACGGGGATAATTAAAACAATAATCCACTTCTGGCTTTCCTTCCTGCCTAAACAGCACCTAAAAGACGTTGAGAGAGAAGAGACAGTTCAAATGGATACTTATCTCCACTTCTGTATGCCTACTTCTCCTTATCCCTTATCAACAGGTATAGCCTCAGGTTAGAAGTCACATGATAAAAGCCACAGGATGGAAGGGGACCCAGAACTTGGGATTTTCAAGTTTTTAAGCCACAAGACCTTTTCTTAAAAGTTTGAGAAAAGTAGTTAAAATGTGCAGCTACTCAAACCCCAGCAGCGATGGGGTCCCACAGCCTAGGCAGCTCACATCAACACCTGCTGCCCTAGCCCCACTTCCCTGCTGTGGCTCCTGCAGCACAGTCTAAAAACCACTCATCACATCCTCCTGCTTATTTAGAGAGGCAGAAACTAAAGTCAGAAAAGCAAGGGGACTTCCACAAAATGACATGGCTGGAGGGATGAAGCTGTGACTGGCATCCAACCAGTTTTCTACTGGCCAGTCAGGTTCTCTTCACCATTGAACACCATCTTCCTGACTTCCATACTAAACAGAGAAAGAAAATAGCCATGTTTGAAAAGAATGTGTCTCCTCACAGGAAGAAACAACCACGGAAGGCTGGTTAGCAATGAAGTCTGGCACCAACAGCTTGGGCTCCACTGATCTGCATTTGAACAAAATATCACCTCCATCTATGGCTGACAAGAGTTACCACGACAGTTTTTTGAACATTAAAACAAATTAAGTCAAAAAAATAATAGACTTCACAGTGAATGCCTAACAGATTCACATTTACAACTATATTGCATATGCATGCTCACAATTACACTTTGGAGGAAGTTTAAGCCACATGAATGACATTGGGGGGAATGAAAAAAGGGAGTGAATAGCCAACAAAATTAACTACAGTGACTAATGGATGAATTATAGTCTTATGATGCCAGGCATGATTTAGTGTTCTCCTCACAGAACTCCAACTTAGATCATCTGGTTGTGCTTTAAAGCATCTATATTTTAAAACCAAAGGTCAAGCCAAGCACTTTCTTCTTAGGCTTGTATGTTGTAGAGTTCAAAGTTCATGTCAACCTGTGTAAATCATTTTCTAAAGAAGCATAACTTTCCTCTATCTGAGGGAGCAGTGATGCAGACAGAGCCCTCAAATTTCGGCTTCATGTGGCCTTCACGGATTCAGATTCACATTGGGCCTGAGTCTACAGCCATACAACCCAAAGGCTGGGAAAAATCCTGTGACCCTGACACCTGTGCAATCCCACTATTCTGTGTCGCATTTTCATCTTTTCCTTTTATTAAAAAAGGGATTTAGAGCATCCAGAGATAAACTGCCCAGTAGCTTGCACAAATTATTTCCTGGCCTCACCTGCATCACATCCCTTAAGTGTGTCTCACCTCCTCCAGCTTGGAAACCATTCCGACATATGGTTGGATGTGCCCTTGCTGGCAGTACTGAAGCACTGAAGATAGGCTCTTAGAGAAGACAGGCAAGTTCATTTCTTTGTATCAATCACAGTACAGGCCCACGGCAGAGACATTCTTCAGGAGCAGAAGCTTGGCTGGTACAGAAGCAATGTTTCCTCCAGCAAATCCCACCACCACAATCCTGCCCTCCCATGCCATGCTGAGGAGAAAGAGAAGAAGAAAAAGAAATTATAAAAAAGCAGCATACATTTCACATCCATTAAGAAGGCTAGTCTCGTAAAACAACAAGTGACAAATGGCGAGGCTGTGAAGAACTGTAAGCCCCTGTGCACCGTTGGTGGGATTATAAAATAGTGCAACTACTACAGAAAACAGTACGAAGGTTCCTCAAAAACTTAAAAATAGCTTCAGCAATTCCACTTCTGATATATATCGAAAAGAATTAAAAGCATGGTCTCAAAGAGATGTTTGCACAGCCATATTCACAGCAGCACTATTCACAGCAGCCAAGAGGTAGAAGCAACCCAAGTGTCCATCAACAGACAAATGAGAAACAAAATGTGGTATATACATACAATGAAATACTATTCTGCCCTAAAAAGGAAGGAAATCCTATCACATGCAATAACATAGATGATCCTTGGGAGCATTATGCTAAGTGAAATAAGCCAAACACAAAAAGACAAATTACTGTATGATTCCACTTACATGAGGTATCTAAAGCAGTCAACTCATAGAAACAGAAAGTGAATGGTGGTTACCAAGGGCTAGGGAAAGGGAGGAAAGGAGAGTTGTTGTTTAATGGCTATAGAGTTTCAGGTTTACAAGATGAAAAAGTTCTTGAGATCTGTCACACAACAATGTGAATATAATTAACACTACGGAACTGCACACTTGAAAATGGTTAAGATGGTAAATTTTATGTTATCTGTTTTTTACCACAATAAAAAAAAAAAAAGGAGAATGAAAAAAAGAGCAATGTACATTAATTCACAGAGACAGAAAGTAGGACAGATGTTACCAGAGGCTGGGGAAGGGAAAAGAAGTAGCTAATGTTTAACAAGTATAGAGTTTTGTTGGGGATGATTATGCAACATTATGACTGTATTTAATGCCAGTGAATTGCATACTTACAAATCATTAAAATGATAAATATTAGGTTATAGCATATTTTACCAACATTTAAAAAACCAACATGTATTATATCCACAGCTGGGCACTCCTCTTGACCTTACAAAGTGGCAGGAGTGAATTATCATTTATTACTTTGGGCTTCTCAGTTAAAAAAAAAAAATGCCATATATGCCATTTTATATGCCATATGTTATAAATACCATAAGCAAGGTATTAGGGAACCAAAGGAACTAGATAATTTTATAAGAGGGCCCACTTTAGAATCAAGGCTGTTGAGCCAGGTGCTGTGGCTTAAATTTATAATCCAAGCACCTTCGGAGGCCAAGGCAAGAGGATCACTTGAGCCCAGGAGGTCAAGACCAGCCTCGGCAACATAGTGAGACCTTGTCTCTACAAAATATAAAAATATTAGCCAGGCATTGTGGCACATGCCTGTAGTCCCAGTGATATGGTTTGGCTGTGTCCCCATCCAAATCTCATCTTGAATTGTAGTTCCCATAATCCCCACATGTCGTGGAAGGGACCCAGTGGGAGGTAATTTACTCATGGAGACAGTTACCCTCATGCTGTTCTCATGATAGTGAGCAGCTTCTCCAAAGATCTGATGGTTTTATAAGGGGCTTTTCCCCAGCACTTCTCCTTGCTGCTGCCATGTGAAGAAGGACATGTTTGCTTCCCCTTCCACCATGATTGTGCATTTCCTAAGGCCTCCCCAGTCATGCTGAACTGTGAGTCAATTAAACCTTTTTCCTTTATAAATTACCCAGTCTCAGGTATGTCTTTATTAGCAGTGTAAGAACAGACTAATACACCCAGCTACTCAGGAGGCTGAGGCAGGAGGACTGCTTGAGCCCAGGATGTCAAGGCTGCAGTGAGCCATGCAGCCATGATTGCACCACTGTGCTCCAGCCTGTGCAACCAAGTAAGACCCTGTCTCAGAAAAAAAAAAAAAAAAAAAAAAAAAAAAGAGAATCAAGACTATCTATTTAACTACCTCAACCACTTTGTGGAAGAAAATTAGGCATATAAACAAATGTCATTCCATTTGTTTCCAAATGTCTGAGTTGTACTGAGACAACTCAGTTTGAAGATTATGAACTTAGGAAGCAGGAATAAGAAGACATACACTTTAATGAGGGAAGGACCATTTGCTTCATACAAAGACTTACTTTAGGATTCCTTTAACACATGTGCCTCTTTAGAGAATTTTAAATAATCTACAAAAATTCATAAGTATTCTGCAGCCCAGTACGAAAAGTCCCCTACAGTACTATTGCTAAGCAATGAGTTACAGAAACAACTTTTGCAAACACCTTGTATATAAAATATGTGTATATTTGTTTGGCTTTTGTTTTTTGCTTTTCTTCTTTAGAAGGGCAATGAGAAGCTATTGCTAAAACGCAATTATCCAGAAGGCAAGGAGGAAGGTAAGAGATGAGCGAGTTTTACCAGCTGTCTATCCTGGCTTTCCACTTGGACTACACACTCCTTCCTTTGCTTCTTCTCTAAGCACAGCACCAGGCACGGTGCAGAGGTGAGCAAACCTATAGACTGCCTGCCACCCAGCTCAGGGGCTAGAGAACCAACTGGATCTCTTTTGTGGGTAGGCTACTGTCTCTGCTTCTGCGACTTCTACCTGAAACTGAGATAAAGAGATAAACTACAAAATTATGCTTGCCAGGATGACATAAGAAATGAAACCAACGCTATCAGAGTACTCCAGAATCCTTGGTTGAAAACGGAATGGGAATTGGTGTGATACAACACTCCTACTAAATCTCCAGTGATATTTTTTAAATAAAACAAGTCAAGGAATTACCTACGCTGCTGGCTGCCTCAGAAAGCAGTAAGATCAGAAGAGCCTGTACCTTGGTCCACAGTGACCCGGGGAAAAGGGAACTGCCACCCCAGTAATTCTAACAGTTGAACAATGCCCTCTGCAAGAATTCCCCACAGACATGGATATAAAGTTGTTAGTGGGAACTGGCATAGCTGTATTTAACAGATGAATAATTTCTAAAGCATTTGGCATTGCCAACTAGAGAGTCTGCAGTCATTTTTTTGGATATTTTCCAGTTGGGTATTTTGTTTTTGCTATATATAAGCATTTCCTGATTTTCTCTGCTTCTATTCCTTTTCACCCACCCACTCGCTGTTCTCGTTGATGCTGATGCCTACAGGAGAAGTGAACAGCAAAGATGAGAGAGAAGCAAGGCCAGAAGGAAGGCAGAGATCAGGAAAGGTTTCAGCTCTAGTCCACGCTAGATAGACCATCACGTACCTGAGGACAGCCTTCAAGCAGATGTCTCCTCCCACCATGTCGATGGCCACATTCACCCCGCCCTAGTCCACCAGCTTCCCCACTGCCTCCTTCAGCCTGCTCTAACTGTAGTTCACGCTGGACTGCGCACCCCTCTGCACTGCCACCTTGCACTTCTCGTCACTTCCAGCAGCAGCTATGTTACCCGCATCAAGAACACAAGATACCTGGTTATCCAGAACATGTCCCAAGAAAGGGGTACCCCACCTACCCCATCTCCAGCCAAAGGGTGCTACTCAAGGAAATCATTGTGACCTTGCTGCCCTGGCATTGGCCTTGAGCCCACACATCAGGCCCAACACACAGACAATCTCACTGACCCCTCCATGCCCTACTAGCCATGAGGTCCACATTTCTAGTAATCCTGGAACCCTAACAGGGATAGCTAGAAGGTGGTTCAAGAAACACTCAGAAAGTCTTCTCAAATGCAAATGAAAACCACCATTTATTGAGCATCTACTATGAATCAAGCAGTAAGGACACAAGATGGATCCTTTAGAGCCAAGAAAGCAAAATACATCAGAGTGATGGGGGAAATAAAGAGGGGCCCAGAAATGTAAACAAGAGGTACCCAACCTAAATCTAGAGGATCAGGAAAGACTTCCTAGAGGGTAAAACATGATTCAATAGAAAGATCTTGAGGTTAGAGAGACCTTAGTCCAAATCCTGGCTTTGCCACTCACTAGCTGTGTTAACCTAGGCAAAATACTTAGTAAGAATTAATACATTTTGTTACTATTTGCCAGTTAACATTCTAAACGTTTTACATATATGAATAACTCATTTAATTATAATAGCCCAATGAAATATACAGTATTATTATCCTTGTTTTATAGATGAAGAAACTGAGGCAGAAGAAGTTAAGTAACTTGTTGCCCAAGGAAGGTCGCACAGCAAATGGGAGACAGAGCTGGGGCACAAACCCAAGTAATTCATCTCCAGAGTCCATGCATTTAACCTCCATACTACCTGCCAGCTTCTCAAGGTTTCAGTTACCTCATCAGTAAAGTAAGACATTTAAAAAATTATCGGAGGCCGGGCACGCTGGCTCATGCCTATAATCCCAGCACTTTGGGAGGCCCAGGTGGGCAGATCACAAGGTCGGGAGTTCAAGACCAGCCTAGACAATATGGTGAATCCCCCATCTCTACTAAAAATACAAAAATTAGCTGGGAGTGGTGGCACGCGCCTGTAGTCCCAGCTACTTAGTTACTCGGGAGGCTGAGGCAGGAGAATCACTTGAACCTGGGAAGTGGAGGCTGCAGTGAGCAGAGATGTGCCACTGCACTCCAGCCTGGGCGACAGAGCGAGACTCTATCTCAAAAAAAAAAAAAAAAAAAAAATCAGGGGTTGGGCGTGGTGGTTCACGCCTGTAATCCCAGTACTTTGAGAGGCCAAGGTGGGTAGATCACAAGGTCAGGAGTTCAAGACCAGCCTGGCCAATATCGTGAAACCCCATCTCTACTAAAAATAAAAAAATTAGCTGGGTGTGGTGGCATGCACCTGTAGTCCCAGCTACTCGGGAGGCTGAGGCAGAAAAATTGCTTGAACCTGGGAGGTGGAGGTTGCAGTGAGCCGAGATCGTGCCACTGCACTCCAGCCTGGGTGACAGAGCAAGACTCTGTTTTTAAAAAAAAAAAAAAAAAAATCTCCAGGCTAAAGAGAAATAAAGGAAAAAGAATTAAATGGGACACTGTATATAAAGCACTTGGAAAACAAAGTGTTAGATAAACTGAAGCCACTGTAACACCATGCAATCATTTATTCTATTTGAGCCTGAGAAGAACATTATTGAGGAGATATAATTACTCCCAGTTTACAGACAGAGACATAGACTCAGAGGGCTAAAGCAATCAACCAGGGTCGTCCATGTAGCAGGTGTTAGAACAACTACTCAAGCCCACTGCTGCGTTACTCCAAAGCCCATGCTTTTCCACTCCATCACCCTAGCAGAAAGCCATACCTAAAGCCTGAAACAGACGGCATAGATGGTGGTGAGCAATACTATGGGGAAGTTTGGGGTTTGGAAGTCTCCAGAAAAGCTGCAAACACTCAAGCATTGCCTAGACATGCCTCACCACGGGGCAGCACCCACCAGCCCAAGCCCTTTAGCCTCAAAGTGAATTTGCAATGAAATACTCCAAGAACACTGGTGCCCTTAAAACATTCCAAACTTACTCATAACTATTTGAAACTGAATGCTTCCCTCAAACATTCCCTGGTGGAACCCTGAAATAGTCGCAGTTCCCTGAGGGCTATTAGCACACAGTGCCACAGTGGGCAGACACTGCTCTAGGGTCAGGCACCTGAACTGAATCCCAAGATTCTCCCTAGATCTCCATGAGACCTGCAGTGAACCATTTTCTCTCTTGGTGCCTCGCTTTCTTGATCTGTGAAATAGGGATAATAAACACTTACACTACCCATCTCTCAGGGGCTTTGTGAGGATCAAGGGTAAGATAATTGCTGTGGAGGCACTTTGGAAGCAATATGAAATGCTGTGGATTCAGGGTGTAATCAACATGACCTGTTCCACATAGGTGGCATGGTAACATTTCTATTTTTGCTTGCTTTTGTTTAAAACCATTATTGCTGTTCAAGAAAAAACAGATTAAGTTAATTTTAATATATTAATTAAAGTGAGCTTTTCTCTCTACTATTTATAACAATTTATAACTATTTAAAACAATTTGTACAATTTTATCTTTCTCGAAATGTTAAATAACCAATAGCTCTAGACAATAAAACCAATTACAGTCTCTCCCCCAAACAGGAGCTAAAAGCCAATCCTTTTAACATGAAATGTGTTCATATCACTTGAGGAGCCTCCTGGTATCTCTGATTACTTTCAGAACTCACAAGTCCTTCCCAAATGGAACTTAATATGAGAAAGGAGAGATGTCCCCTAAAGGAATTCCAGACCAATCCAATTATCTCCAGACCTATATACCTAGCTGCCCTCTGGCTATCCGATTGCGTGCTCCACAGGAACCTCACATTCAACACAGAGAAAACCCAACTCACTATTCCTGCCTGTGTTCTCAATCTCAGTAAGATGGCAACTCCTCGAGTTAACTTAGTTTGCTCCTTCCCACTCAATGTCTAATAATAACAGGATTCTTTTTAAAGAGATTCTTACTGACATGCCCCGCCCTCTAATAGGCACTGCACGTGTAATCTCAATATTCCCACAACAACTCCATGGAGAAAGCATTCTTTTACAAGTGAGAAAACTGACGATATTAAGCTGGAGGCAGAGCTGGAATCTGAACCTACGTCAGGCTAACTTTAAAGTCCTTGTTCTTTTGACTAGAGCAGGATGCTCTCCAGGTACCAAATTCTCTCTTTTTTTCCACTTCAGTATCTCTCAATGCATTGCTTCCACTGCCTTGGTTCAGGTAGCCTATCCTAATCCTGGCTTGGATTGCTCCAAGAGCCTGTCCTGTTGCTTCCAGACTACCCTTGACCTTTCCCCTATCCCTTATTCCCATGGCTACCAGAGTGAACTTTTCCAAATGCAAAAATATCATGTCACTTCCCTACTTTAAATCCTCAACTGCTCTCAATAGCTTCCAATAAATGTTCAAATTTTTCAGCCCCACACAAGGCCCCTCATGATCTTATCTCTGCCTTCCTCTCTAGAGTCACCTTCCACTATTTCCCCCCAGGTCCTTGGCTCCAAAGATGCTATTTGCAATTCTCTGAATGCACCATGCTAGTTCCTAGTTCTCTATCTTCTAATAAGTCTTCCCACCACTAAAATGGCCTTCACTTCCCTTCTTCCTCTATTCAACAGCTACCAATTATTTAAAAGTAAGCTTAAATGTCTACCTTCTCTAAGAAATCCCCCTTTTCCAACACTCACAGCCTCAGAAAGATACTTCTGAAGAGACCTAAGTCTTTTTTCATTATTTTATTCATTAATTCATTCATTTAAGAAATAGTTCTTGAGGGCCTACTATGTTCTAGGTACCATGCTAGGTGCAGGACTACAGGGATGAACCAAAGAGACACTGTCACTGCCTTTATGGGGATTACAGTCCAGTAAGAGGGAGACAATAACCCGATAATGACATAAATAACCACACCCTGAGCTATGTATTATGAAAGAGAAGTAGAGGGTGCTATGAAATCACATATACAGAGGAGGGAGAGAGGACTCACCTAGACTGAGGGACAGAGAATACTTCCCTGAAAAAGTGACATTTGAGTTTAAATGTGAACGACAGCTCTGAGTATTACAGGTAGAGAAAATAGCATGTGCAGAAGGCATGAAGTGGGTCAGTCCTTGCCAGGGTCTAGTAGCTGGAAGGATGAGTGATTTGCTTCTAGGCCCCCTCCCTAGTCTGTAAGCGAATAGATGGCAAGACCCTGCTCTGGGTTACTTTATATCCCCAATGCCTTGCACGTGGTTTTTAATCAATGAATGAATATATTGTTTGAATAAATATGTGCTTGAAAACTGGAGTTAGGATTTTTTTAAATGGTGACGTTAACATACAAATACCTTGGCCTGAAGAACATTTGTTGTCACATCACCGCAAGGCCTGCGGCTCCAGCTGCTGCCATCACTAAAACAATTTCAATTTCTCTGTGCCAACGAAAGATGAATGCTACTTCAGAAACCTTCAAAAGTCAACCAGTAATATGATTTCACAAATAGAAACAGAACATTTTAAAGCAAGAATGTTAGAGGTTGTTTCATTCAAACCTTCGTATACATCTGTTCTCTACCCTGTAAGCTTACAGATGTGACTTCTAGATTAGCGTTAATTTGGTTCAGTTTTGAAGACTTGCTAGGAAAAAGATTCCTAAATCTCTCTAGGTAGCCTCTCCCTCATATCAGTGGCAACCTTTCCTTTGAGCTACTACTCCAATTTATTCTTCAGAAATTCTACCTTAAAATCCTTCTCATATTAGATACTGCCCAATGTTACAAGGTGATGAGCATGTTACAAGATGAGTGGAGCCACAACTCAACTAAACCCAGCTCTCTGAAGCAATTCTGGGTCTCAGCTCTCTAAACAGATCAAGAAGCAGTATGGATGCTCCAGGTAAAGAATCAAACTTTAGCACCTTTTCTTCTGAAATGTCCCATCTGGCACACTCAACAAGGCCTCACAGAAACAAATACCATGGGCCTCTAATAAACTCAGAGTGAAATGGGCTTCAATAAACCAACTCTCACACTTTAGTATTTTTTATGAGATCTCCAGAGTGGTCACATTTGAGAGAGGTATTTCTCCAATTCACACTGGCCAAATTCACAGTCTATCATTTCCTATCAGACAGAGGGATGTCCTCACAGTCAAAAAACCCCAATCTCAAGTGGCTACCTCCCTTTGGCCTGTCATCAGCCAAAAGGAAGGGAAAGGAAGGGAAGAGGTGGGGCACGGCCTTGTTGGACACTTCTGAAACCAAGAGATGGGTACCTTCTAGCCTTCTGTCACCTACACAGTCCTTAACCCAGGCTGGGAATGGGCCCGATGCTCAAGAGCAAAAATTGCAGTGCCATAAGTTATAGGGAGGACAGCAGCTTCTTGTAGGGAGACCTTTTCTGGAATCTGCCACAGGTCCTATAAAAGAGATAATAGTGACTTACGGATTGAGTGTATGTACCTAGTCATAAAGGCTGCTCAGTAAATATTAGGATTTGATTCAGTGACTGATTGGCAAAGGGAAACACCTGCCCATAACCAAGCCCAGTGGAAGTCAAAACTAAGCAAGCTGCAGCAGATTTCAGGACTTGAATGCATCAGACTTCAAAACCCCAAGGCTAGCATCTGGCTCAGGAAGGAGCCAACAGGTAGAGAACCGAACACAGATCACGGTACTGTGATGGGTGAATGGTCTAATATGTCAGTTTTACCTCAGTAAAGCTGGGGGGGACAATTGTGTACTGTCCACCATGAGGGGGCACCATTCACACCCTGCACAACCATACTAGACTACCCTGGCTGGCTCCATTCCCAGGGCTATCTCTTTCACAAGCTTTGTGTCCGGGAGTAGCCCATTACATCCAGCTCAATGCCCAAAACCAGTTTTTCTACCAAAACTACCTAGTCCAAATGAACAGCCAGCTCAAGGACTCAGAAAACAAAATGTTGTTCTTCATTAAAACACTCAACGCAAACAAAGCTCTGTGCAAAGTGTCACATAAATGAAGACAAGGAGTTTAATATTTGAAAAAATGAAGTGCTTAGCTGAGAAACAAGACATGACTAAATAAACACAAAGAAAAAGAAGGAGAGGGGAAGACAGGAACGAGGGATAGGTGGAAATTAAAGAAAAACACAGGAGAAAAAACATCTTCAACCATTAATCTTGAGTGGTACAGATACCTTCTGGTCAGTGACGCATTCTTCCACCATACAATTAAAGTTTCTTATGCCAATAACTATCTCCCTAAAGGAAACATACCATTAAAGATATGTGCGAATGGGTGACCTTGCATTCCTTTTCCTGAGTTAATCAAAAAAGAAAAAAAAATGCACATCTCTGACTCCAAAAGACACAGGTTGGTCTTAATTATCTATTCAGAGTTAATGTTTAGTAAATAAAATAGTAATTCTCTCAATACCACCACCAGATTGTCAAGCCTATTTGAGTGAGCACATTTGAGACGATGAGATAGAGTAAGGCAAAGGTTGATTTGAATTAGAAGCCCAGTCTTAACTTCACAAGAGGCTCAAGTTCTCTGTCCTCTCAGTTAAAGACTGAGGTGCCGCCTTTTATTCATAATAAAAAGTTTAATGCAGCCAGGAACTTCAATGACTTCCTTTCCCCAATTCAGAATTTGTTTCTTACCTTTCTATTTAGGTTTCCCTTTGGTGTCTGCAGGCAAAAGCCAGTAGAAGCAAGACCCTTCGGCTACAAATGAAGTTAGCACATTTTTCATAGCTCCATGTATATTGATTCCCTAGACTTCAACTAATTTACCTCTTTAACTGTGCTGACATCTGTGCCTGTCTCCAACACTGTCCCAGAAAACTCCATTCCTGAAAACATATTGTTTAAAGATTAGGTTATCTGTAAAACACAACACCACGGAGATGAGAAAACACTGATCGACAGGCTAGTCCAACAGCTTTTGGAGCTGAGGGAGTTTAGGTGCCCTTCCCCCTCTCCATATGCAGGCAGAGAGATAAGGGTGTTATACCCAAAGCAGATGAAAGTAAACATAAGATTTCACAATCACAACCTGGGAAGCTATAGCAGTCCCAATCTTACCATGACACAAATGAAAATTTCAAGACTGCAAAAGCACAGAGAATCACAGGTACACAGGTACTTTTGACCTAATCACTGGGACCTCCTATAGCACCCCAATGACAATGTTCATCCTATTTATCTGTTTTCAAGTCTCTTCTGCTGGACTATAGGGCCCTCCCTCAAGGACATGAACTGTGTTTATTCAGACAGTACTTGGCTCAACTGGATGAACTGATGTCTGCCCTTTCCTCTTTCACCTCTGAAATTTCTGAAGTAATTATAATGTTTCCTACTTGAGCTGCCAGGGGAATAACTCAATTGAGTATGACATCTTCCCCCCAACCAGTATTTCAGCAAATATAAACAGAAGGAAATGGTTCCAACTGTTGAGATACAATCAAATACCCTGAGACCAAAACACGGTAACTATTTGCAATTACTCTGTCTTTAATAATATAGATCTGTATAAAATATACATGTACTATATACATGCTAAGCTATACTTATAACCCTTTAAACACATTTCAACAACAAAAATCAGTCACTTGTCCACATGTTCAGGATCTAGAAGCAGATTGGGAACAAAAATCGGACAGAGGGCTGCTAAGAAATCCACACCCTTTTCTTCTCTCTGATCCTTTGGCATTATGTTTTATTGGGAATGTGTCTGTGAGGCTGAAGTTTTAGCTGCAAACAGATGTCTGTGATCCTTCAGTGAAGAAACAAAATTGGGGCAATATCAAGCAAGGAAAGGGAATGAATGACTAGGACCAACGATAATTCTGGTGAACAGAATTTTGGTGAAAATTCATTTGTTCATTTCTTCATTTTTAGAGTATTTACTGAGCACCTACTAAGAGCCATGTACAATGCTAAGCTGGGTGATATAATATTGAGCAAGACAGGCACAGACTTTGCCCTCATGGGGCTCACAATCTAGTGATCCCAATTCACAGTGAGACGGACACATCTAACTGAACCATCACTGATGGCAGGCAGACACCAACAGAGCACTGCCTGAGACCAAGGGCATGATTCGGAAAACTCCCTGTATCTTTTTTTCCTGAAGCAGTCACTTGGTCTCTCCATACTCACCAGGTGTGAAGGGAAGATGGGGCCTTTCCTGATATTGACCTTGGCAGATCAAAATATCACCAAAGTTAACTCCACAGAAATGGACATCAACTCTGACCTACAAAGGAAATAGAGCCGCAAAGCAGAACAGTACACATCCATGGAGACAATGTTCATTCAATCATACCAAAATAGTTAATGACAACGACATGCCAGGTACTAAAGTAAGAGCCGGCACACACTCAGGAGGCAAAATGGGCAAGGTCTCTGCCTTCATGAAGCTAAAGTATAGTAGAGAAAACAGATATTAACCAGGTAATAATGAAGATACATATATTAAGTTATAACTCCAGTACCAAGCGTTAATGATATAAATATATGGTGCTATGAAAGCACATAATGGAAGGATTTGACCACTTGGGGAAGTCAGGAAAAGCGTTCCTAAGTAAGCAACACTTGAACTAACAACTAAGAGTTAACTATTCAAAGTAGGAGGCAAAAGGCTTGGCACAGACAAAAGCAATGGCATCTACAAAGACCTACAAAGACACTACAGTGGGGACACAAGAGACTTTGAAGCCTTACTGAGGACTTTTTTTTTTTTTTTTTTTTTTTGAGACGGACTCTCACACTGTCGCCCCAGGTGGAGTGCAGTGGCATGATCTTGGCTCACGGCAACCTCCGCCTCCCAGGTTCAAGCAATTCTCCTGCCTCAGCCTCCCAAGTAGCTGGGGTTACAGGCATGTACCACCACGCCCAGCTAATTTTTTTTGTATTTTTAGAAGAGGTGGGGTTTCACCATATTAGCCAGGCTGGTCTCGAACTCCTGACCTCATGATCCACCTGCCTCAGGCTCCCAAAGTGCTGGGATTACAGGCGTGAGCTACGCGTCTGGCCTCCTTTCTGAGGATCTTAATTTTCATGCTACAAACAATGGGAAGTCATTAATGAATTTTAAACAGAAGGGTAAAATGATCAGCTGTTTGGGGAATCTGGAATCCTTTAGTCTAGCCCCAGATCCCCAACCTCTATGTTTTGTGATAGTGCCATAGCTGAGGCAGACCAACAGCAGTGTAGCCAGCAGTTTCACCAGGCCCTGTAAGCCCGTGGTTCTCAAAATGTGGCCCCAGACCACTAGCATCAGTATCACCTGGCATAGGCCAGGCACAATGGCTCACGCCTCTAATCCTAGCACTTCCAGAGACCAAAGCAGGAGAATCACTTGAGCCCAGGAGTTCAAGACCAGCCTGGGCAACCATCTCTACAAAAATAAAAATTAAAAAATTATCTAGGAATGGTGGCATGTACCTGTGGTCTCAGCTACTTGGGAGACTGGGGTAGGAGAACCGCTTGAGCCTGGAAGGTCAAGGTTGCAGTGAGCCATGATCATGCCACTGCACTCCAGCCTGGGTGACAGAGTGAGACCCTATCTCAAGAACAAAAAAAAAAAGAAAGAAATTCAAATTATTAAGCCCCATCCCAGGCCTACTGAATCAGAAACTCTGAAGATAAAGCCTAGCATTCTTTTTTAATAAACCCCAACTGATTCTGATGCATGCTAGACCAGGGGTTCCCAACCCCGGGGCCAAAGACTGGTAGCCTGTCAGGAATCTGGCTGCACAGCAGGAGGTGAGCAGACAAAGCAAGCATACCGCCCAGCTCTGCCTCCTGTCAGATCAGGGGCGGCATCGGATTCTCATAGAAGTGCAAACCCTATCGTGAAATGCACAGGCAAGGGATCTAGGTTGCGCACTACTTATGAGAATCTAATGCCTGAGGATCTGAGGTGGAACAGCTTCATTCCAAAACCATCCCCTCCAACCCCCATCAATCCATGGAAAAACTGTCTTCCACAGAACTGGTCCCTGGTGCCAAAAAGGTTGTGGACCGCTGTGCTAGACAACCACTGTCATAGACCAACATCCCAACAGGGATTGGAATCACTGGAAGAAATGAAAGCTGAGATGCCAAAGGGATGATATTGATTTGTTTGTACAGAGGTGGCCATATTGGTGAGAAGACATTTTTATCTACAAAATTCATTCATTCAACAATTTTTTAAGCTTCTGCCACATGCCAGGAACCATTTTAGACTTCAGGGATTTAGCAGTGAGTAAAACTACATAGTCACAGCTCTCATGGGCTAATTCCTTACAACGCAATGTCTAGACAAATAACAGAACAAAGGAGCCTAGCCCTCAGCCTGGACCCATTCCGTGCAGAACACAAAGGTTATTGACAAGTATACACAGGGTACACATGTCTTCTCCAGCCACTCCACCTAGATTGAAGGATGATTTGAGGATGAATGTCATTCAGCCTGTGAATCCCAGGAAGTAGTGCTCATCCAAATAATCCGTGTTAGCCATGTTAGTTAACAGGTTCCATGCTGGTAACACTTCAGGGTTACAGCTGCCTTTCTCCCTCTCCCTGGAGGTCTCCAACACTGAGACCCACTGCCTGCTTCACACTGTCTGAGGTTCTCATCTCCACACCAGATGACACTGTGTTACCAGAGTGGTCAACAGGCAGGGCCAAAGTGACTTCCACATTTCAGTGGACCAGCTGCCCACATCCCTAAAAGAATCCAATCCCAAATCTCTGCAATACACCAGAGGCATATGTTCACATGCAAACACGGGGGTTGCCGGGCTGGTTTCAGGGAGGCAGAGGCCGAATAATTCGATTCCGGCACTGAGGTGGAACGAAGCAAAGGATGAGGTCTATGTACCTGTGTTAAACCAATAACTTGCACATACAAAGTCATGTGCAAATCAAAATTCTCTGTTTCTAAGGCAACAACTCTGAGCATTGAGAAAGAGGACTATAAGTGTGTTTTGGGGGAACAATCTTCCTTTAGCACTTTAGACCTTGGAAAGGGCTTCAACCTCCTAGACCAGGACGAAGTTGCCCTCCAGTCTCTGGGTCGCCCCCTTGCTTGGGAACTGGGAACTTGATTCAAGAAGGAAGCCTGCGGGGAGTGTGTGGTGACGAGGAGAAGGGGAGAGTAGAAGGGGATAAGGCAGCCCCCTACCTCGTGAGGCCCGACGGGGCGGGGGGCCACCTCTTCAATGGTCAGGGTCTTCTTCAGCTCTGCGCAAATCGCGGCGCGGTAGTGCCGGCCGCTGCCCTGTCCGGGTCTCCTGCAACACAAAACAAGGGCAGGGTCAGTCGGGCAACCCTGCCGGGAGCACCCCAGGGCTGCCTTGCGGGGCTCAGGGAGGAGTCGGGGTTGCACCTGCAGACCCACGCCCGAGGGAGGCACTGCGTGCAGAGCACGGCCGCCACGGCCGGGCCAAGCGAGGGGCGGAGGGGGAGTGGCCGGAGCGCGGCAGGAAGAGCCAGACAGCGCCGCCCAGCCCCGGGAGAGCGGAAGGGCGGCCCAGGAGGCCTTCTGGCGACGAGCCCCGGCAGCCACGACCCAACCCTTGCGGGGCGGCTCTGGCCCAGTGCGCCCGTCTTCTCCGGCCGCCGAGCCCAAATGAGCGCGCGAGCCCCCTGTTGGGCCTCTCTGTAGGTGGAGCCGACTGGAAGGAAAGAAGAAAAAAGAAAACACCAGGAAACGGAATTAGATTACCCGAGATTAACCTTCGTTGGCATTTTTGTAACAAATTTGGGAGACTTTTTTTTTTTTTTTTATAGTTTCAACTTTTATTTTAGATTCGGGGGCTGTGCAGATGTGATCTGGGTATATTGCATGATGCTGAGGTTCAGGGTACGAATCATCCTGTCACTTCGGTGCTGAACATAGAATCCAATAGTTTTTCAAACCTTGCCCCCCCTCAGAATTGGGAGACTTTTTAAACCACGCTTGGCGACATTTAAATAGTGGTTCTTGGCTGGGTGGCTCACGCCTGTAATCCCAGCACTTTGGAAAGCCAAGGCGGGTGGTGGCCAGTGTCTGTGGGCTCAGCTACTCGGGAGGCTGAGGCGGGATGGTCGCTTGAGTGCAGGAGTTGGAGGCTGCGGTAAGCTATGATCGCACCACCCTGAGCGACAGAGTGAGACCTTCTCTATAGATTAGATAGACAGACAGACAGATGATGCATAAAGGTCCTTGGGTCCTCTGCAGTGCAAAAAAATCCTAAATGCATAGGTAAAGGCTTTATTTATTTATTTATTTAGAGACAGGGTCCTGCTCTGTCAGCCAGGCTGGAGTGCAGTGGCACTATTTCGGCTCACTGCAACCTCCTCCACTCAGGGTCAAACCATCCCCCTGCCTCAGCCTCCCATGTACCTGGTACTATAGTTGTGCGCCACCACATCGGGCTAATTTTTGTATTTTTTTAGAGAGGGGGGTTTCACCATGTTGCCCAGGCTGGTCTCGAACTCCTGGCCTCAAGCGCCCTGCCCGCCTCAGCCTTCCAAAGCGCTAGGATTACAAGTGTGAGCCACCACGCCTGCCTAGGTAAAGGCTTTAAAGTCAGCATTTGAACACCTTGTTAGAGTTCAATTCTTGTTACTAATTTTCTCACATTTACAGGACCATTTACACTAAATCTAAAGAGTTACTAATGATCCAATGTTGAATGAAACTACAGAAATCCAAATAATACTTCCAGTTAAAATCAGGCCAAAACCCACCACGGGGACAGTGGAAGGGCATTGGTTCTCATGTCCCCAATGCCTATATTATGCTTGGCACATAGTAGATGCTCAATAAATGTTTGTTGATTCGAAGACCAACACAGACCATTCACATTAGGTGAATAAGCACACTCTGGAAGAATTGAAAATATACAATATAATCTGTGAAATATTACAAAATGGGGTAGATCTCTACTGCAACAGTAACCAAATATTTATAGGCTAGCTATATAAGAGAAGGACACATGTTGGAGAGAATATTTCATTTGACAGGTAACTTTTAAAGACAGCTCAGTGTCTTTAAAAGATATCTGGGAGAAGGGTAGTCTCAGGTTCAGGCCCAGCTCTACCACTTATTTGTGGGTTTGACATTGACACTTGTTGGCTCTCTGCTTCAGTGAACTCCTCTGTAAAGTGAACACGTTGGGCAGAATAATCCTTAAGTTGCTAAATTCCTTCTATTTTTTTTGACAAAAACAGAAATCCCAAATAGAGCATGACCTGGAAGGCATGATCAGGAATGGAATAAAGGGAAAATGGAGAGCAAAAATGAAGTAGGAATGAACTTCTGAGATTATAGCCTAAAGGCTCTGGGGGACAGAAATCCAACAGCAAGGTCCTCACCTTGGATATACAATAGAGCTTACTGTTATTTTAAGAGCACTTACAAGGAATTCGAGAAGTCATTTTAGTCCTCTCCCCTTCCCACAAGAGGAAGACTAGAACAATGACTAGAAGCTGAGAAGATGAAAAAACTTGTGTTTCCAATGAGACAAGAAAGCACTTTGTGAACTGGAGAAATACTAATGTTATCATCAAAGTGAACATTCTGGTTGCAAATAACAGTGAGTGGCTGGGGGCACTGGCTCCTGCCTGTAATCTCAGCACTTTGAGAGGCAGAGAGAGGTGGATCGCTTGAGGCCAGGAGCTCAAGACCAACCTGGGCAAGATAATTGTCAGGCCTCTGAGCTGAAGCTAAGCCATCATATCCCCTATGACCTGCACGTATACATCCAGATGGCCTGAAGCAACTGAAGATCTACAAAAGAAGTGAAAATAGCCTTAACTGATGACATTGTACCATTGTGATTTGTTTCTGCCCCACCCTAACTGATCAATGTACTTTGAAATCTCCCCCACCCTTAAGAAGGTTCTTTGTAATTCTCCCCACCACTGAGAATGTACTTTGTGAGATCCACCCCCTGCCGGCAAAACATTGCTCCTAACTCCACTGCCTATCCCAAAACCTGTAAGAACTAATGATAGGTGGGGCGCGGTGACTCACGCCTGTAATCCCAGCACTTTGGGAGGCCCAGGCGGGCGGATCACGAGGTTAGGAGATCGACACCATCCTGGCTAATATGGTGAAACCACGTCTCTACTAAAAATACAAAAAATTAGCCAGGCGCTGTGGTGGGCACCTGTAGTCCCAGCTGCTTGGGAGGCTGAGGCAGGAGAATGGCGTGAACCCGGGAGGCGGAGCTTGCAGTAAGCTGAGATCATGCCACCGCACTCCAGCCTGGGCAACAGAGTGAGACTCCGTCTCAAAAAAAAAAAAAAAAAACTAATGATAATCCCACCACCCTTTGCTGACTCTCTTTTCAGACTCAGCCCGCCTGCACCCAGGTGAAATAAACAGCCTTGTTGCTCACACTAAGCCTGTTTGGTGGTCTCTTCACATGGATGTGTGTGACATTTGGTCCTGAAACCCAGGACAGGAGGACTCCTTTGGTAGACTGCTCCCCTGTCCTCGGCCTCACTCCGTCAGAAGATCCACCTATGACCTTGGGTCCTCAGACCAACGAGCCCAAGGAACACCTCATGAATTTCTTTTTTTTTTTTTTTTTTTTTTTTGAGACGGAGTCTTGCTCTGTCACCCAGGCTGGAGTGCGGTGGTGCGATCTCAGCTCACTGCAGGCTCGGCCTCCAGGGTTCACACCATTCTCCTGCCTCAGCCTCCCAAATAGCTGGGACTATAGGCGCCCGCCACCATGCCTGGCTAATTTTTTCTGTTTTTAGTAGAGACAGGGTTTCACCATGTTAGCCAGGGTGGTCTCGAACTCCTGACTTCGTGATCCACCCACCTCGGCCTCCCAAAGTGCTGGGATTATAGTCGTGAGCCACCACGCCTGGCCACATCTCATGAATTTCAAATCGGATAAGCAGTCTTTTCACTCTCTTCTCCAGCCTCTCTTGCTACCCTTCAATCTCCCTCTCTCGCTACCCTTCAATCTCCTTGTTCTTCCAACTCCAGTTCTTTTTCCTCTCTACTAGAGACAAAGGAGACACATTTTATCAGTGAACCCAAAACTCCAGCACCAGTCACAGACTCAGGAAGACAGTCTTGCCTTGGTGTTTAATCACTGCAGGGACACTTGCTTGATTATTATTCACCCACACTCCATTGGTGTCTAATCCCCATGTGGACGCCTGCCTTGGTCATTCACCCACATTTCCTTGGTGGCAAGTCAATTGTGGGGATGCCTGCTTTGGCTGCTCACCCACCCCCTTCTCCGTGTCTCTACCTTTCTCTTTAAACTTACCTCCTTCACTATGGGCAAACTTCCACCCTCCATTCCCCCATCTTCTCCCCTAGCCTGTGTTCTCAAAAACTTAAACCTCTTCAACTCTCGCCTGACCTAAAACCTAAGTGGCTTATTTTCTTCTGCAACACTGCTTGGCCCCAATACAAACTCAATAGTGATTCTAAATAGCTAGAAAATGACATTTTTGATTTCTCCATTTTACAAGACCTGCATGACTTTTGTCGAAAGATGGGCAAATGGGTCTGAGGTGCCTGACATCCAGGCACTCTTTTACACATTGGTCCCTCCCTAGTCTCTGCTCCCAATGTGACTCATCCCAAATCTTTCTTCTTTCTCTCCTGTCTGTTCCTTCAGTCTCCACCCCAAGCTCTGAGTTATTTGAATGCTCCTTTTCTCCAGACCCATCTGACCCTTCCCCTCCTCCCCAGCCTGCTCCTCACCAGGCCAAGCCAGGTACCAATTCTTCCTCAGCCTCCACTCCCCCACCCTATAATCCTTTTATCACCTCCCCTACTCACACCCGGTCTGGTTTACAGTTTCGTTCTGCGACTAGCCCTCCCCCACCTGCCCAACAGTTTCTTCTTAAAGAGGTGGCTGGAGCTGAAGGCATAGCCAAGGTTAATGCTCCTTTTTCTTTGTCTGACCTCTCCCAAATCAGTTAGTGTTTAAGCTCTTTTTCATCAAATATAAAAACTCAACCCAGTTCATGGCCTGTTTGGCAACAACACTTAGACGGTTTACCACTATAGACCCAGAAGGGCCAGAAGGCCGTCTTATTCTCAATATGCATTTTATTACCCAATCTGCTCCCAACATTAGAAAAAGCTCCAAAAATTAGATTCCGGCCCTCAAACCCCACAACAGGACCTAATTAACCTTGCCTTCAAGGTATACAATAATAGAGTAGAGGCAGCCAAGTAGCAACGTATTTCTGAATTGCAATTCCTTGCCTCCACTGTGAGACAAATCCCAGCCACATCTCCAGCATACAAGAACTCCAAATGCCTGAACCGCTGTGACCAGGCATTCCTCCAGGACAGCCTGCCCCAGGATCTTGCTTAAGTTCCAGGAATCTGGCCACTGGGCCAAGAAATGCCCACAGCCTGGGATTCCTCCTAAGCCATGTCCATCTGTGCAGGACCCCACTGGAAACTGGACTGTCCAACTCACCCGGCAACCACTCCCAGAGCCCCTGGAACTCTGGCCCGAGGCTCTCTGACTGACTCCTTCCCAGATCTTCTGGGCTTAGCAGCTGAAGATTGATGCAGCCCGATCACCTTGAAAGCCTCCTGGACCATCACAGACGCTTTGGGTAACTCTTACAGTGGAGGGTAAGTCCGTCCACTTCTTAATCAATACGGAGGCTACCCACTCCACATTACCTTCTTTTCAAG